TGTCTTGTGTTGTGGGGATCGAACCACAGCAACCTGAGCCTGACTGCTTTGTTGAAGCAGCCACTTAAAGAACTGAGCTAAGGGGCAGGCCCCCCATCTGCCTATACTTTGAATACTGTCATTTTGTTTTTGTATCTTTTGATCTTTGGCCTTTGTTTTCATTTGTCTTGTTGAAGTTCAGTTTTATATTTTAGTCAAGCTTCCCTTTTTATTTTTTTATGTAAGAAATTCATTCATTTATCCAAAGATACTAAGGGTATCTTTTATTATAGTCTGGTATACTCTTCATATTTATACATTTAATTTGCACAGACTTGAATTTTTTTTTTTTTTTTAGTATTTTGAGACAGGTACATGGTCTTGCTCTGTATCCCAGTCTGTTCTTGAACTCATGATCCTCCTTGGCCTTGGATTGTGGCAGTTTGAGTACTAGAATCTGTGTGCTAATGTCATCAGCACTTACTGCCATGCAGTTGTAGTGCTCTGAAGCTTAGTGGTAAAAGCGAAGGTGTGGTCTGGAAACTGGACTTGCCATTGAGTTCTGTGTTCTTGGGAAGGTTATATGAGTGAGTTCTTCAGTTTCAAGTACTTTCAGGATTAAGTGGAATAATTTAAAATATCACTTAATGTATATAAAATTGCTTAATACTTGTTACTGTGATTTATAACATTCCTTATTTCAGTGGCTTTTGATTTTTCAATCATTTTTACAAAGCACAATACACAAAGTAGTTAGCATTTGATTTTAAAGGTACAGTGTATACTTGCATTGCGTCCAGAAGTAGGAAGCTGTCTGGCAGAAGACATGCTTTGGTTTCAGGGGGTGAGAGCAGCTACTCAAAATGATGTAGTTGCTTTTAAGGGGATGCCATTTTTTTCTTTCTACCTTTAAATTTTGTACGTGTCGTAAATAAAATTTAATATGTGTACCTGTGTATGCTTAGGAGAATATGAGCACAGGAGCACCAGGTACAGGATCCTAAGGGCGAGTTCATGTTTTTAAATGAATGTGTGGTAAGGTTTGGGGGTCTGTCATTAGATGTTGTTGAGGACATGGCTTTTCGTAGAGTCTTGGCCAGTAGCGAAAGATAATGGAAAATTAAAAGATATGTGGTTGCATTTCGAGGACTGGAAGTCAGAATGAAAGGAAAGATCAGGGTCATTGAGAAAGAAGGCATGAAAACTTGAAATAAAGATTTTAGGACAAGACATTTCTGTGTTAAGCTCTTAGTAATACTTTACGGATCAATGAGTTCTAAACAAATGTGTGACCAGTGGTTACAGTTTTGCTAAGTTGGCTAGCAGGTTAAGGGAATCCTAGAAAACTAGGGATGTAAGATTTGTTCTCAGATCAGATGTGTAACTCCCCATGTGACAGTTAAGTGATGATGCTGACCTTGCAGGGGAGGGCCTCTTTGATTAGAGACAACAACCCTGATGGAAAGAGGAAGAATGTGGACCACAGGCAGTCATTCCAGCATTCTAGAGAAAACTTCTGGTGCATTTTCTAAGATGGAGTACAGTTCTCACTGAAAGTCCTTAGAGCCTGTATAAACTTTTGGGTCATACCTGTTGCTTTGATGCAGAGTCCTTGGTATTTTAGGGCAGGAAAAATGTTCATTTTATGATGAATTCCTTGTTATCGATGACAGTGTAAAATTAAGTAGTAGTTTTGTGTATGTTCTATATTGCTTTAATGTTTGATATACTGTTTTTCTGTAATTTCATTTTAAGGGGTTATTAGACTTGGCCTTTTGTGGGGCAGAATGCTTTGTAAAGAGAATTTTGCATTTTGGGGAAATAATTTATAAAGATTAATTTGAAAAATGTTGAGTTTAAATGTGTAGCTCTTATGATTTTGAGCTTTGTACATTGACGTTGACATTCTTTTGTATAGGAGTTAAAGTTCCTCGTAATTTTCGCTTGTTGGAAGAACTTGAAGAAGGACAAAAAGGAGTAGGCGATGGTACAGTTAGCTGGGGCCTTGAAGATGATGAAGACATGACACTTACGAGGTGGACAGGCATGATCATTGGGCCACCAAGGGTTAGTGCTATAAATCATATATTTTTCCTTTTAACATTACTTTAGACTGAACATTTTATTTTGTACTAATTAATATTAAAACAATTATTACCTTTAACTGAAATAATTCTTTTATTTTGTATACATTTTTTATGTTTCCTGCGTGTAGGGTATAAAACTTGATTATCTGCAGGCTTGTGGGGGGAAGATTGCCATGATCATTACCGTTAAGGTGTTTGTGGTTCAATTGACGACCAAAAAAAAATCAGTACAGATCACAGATTTTAAATATGGCAGAGCAAGTTCACTACGGGACTTTAGAATATGTTTTTTCTAGCTGCAATAATTGAGGAAAGCTGAACAGTGGAGGAATTTTGGAATGAGCGTTTGGAATGAGCCTTAAAGGACAGACTGGTAGGATTTCTGAAGGTGGTGATTGGGATGGAGAACATTCCAGATAGAGAGGAAAAAAGGTGAAGAAACGGAGGGGATATTGGGGAAGTAGGAAAAGATTATTTTGACATAGCATGTTACTAATCCCCTTGGGTGCAACTGAGGGTTTCTTATGGTATTGAGTACACATTGATGTTTGTCCTCTAATGTTTCAGATGCCATGGGAAACACTGTAGGCCTCACTGTCTTCATTTATAAAATATATTTAAATGTCTAGGATTCTGCTGAGGGGTGAAACAGTGATAGAGTACATGCTTAGCATGTGCAAGGCCCTAAGTTCAGTCCCTAGCACCAATAAAATACAACAAAAATCCCCCACAAAAGCTAGGTTTCTTATATATTTTTTAGTATTGTCAAGTAGTTAACCAGTTGTACATTATTTTTAGGTCTTTCTCAGGTTTATTAAGTTTTATCTTTACTCAGTAAGTGTAGACTACTAAATTACTCAAGAGTAATTCTAGATTGGAAAAATTTTTCTACATTTTATTCTCCAGGGATCCTAGCCACTATATTTTGTGCAGTGAGTCTTTGAAATATATATTATGTAATGTTTTTGCCTTGCTGGAGACAATGTAAAATTGAAGGATTTTTTTTTGTCTTTGGTTTTGTATAATGTTGATACTTTCTGATAGGAACATTTGAACAATTTTATTGTTGGGCAATAAAATTGTCTTACTACAAAAGAAAAATAGATCTGGTCATTACCAGTATTATCTTTAGGAAATGAATTAATGTGTCATGTTGTTGTGTTAGTTTTTGGTATTCCTTTGCAAAATTTGTACATACTTCTTACATTCTGATTTTCTCCTACCTGCTCTGATTTCTCCAGAAGACATTTGGGGAAAGATATTATTGATGAGTACAAATTTTTGTTTCTGTAACTTGGTACTTGTAATGAACACTTTGCTTTTTCACTGCCCAAAATATTACCATAGTCTGGTTCAAAAAGAACTTTAAACCTACGAACATTCTGATTTAGAATAGTTTGAAGATTTAAACCAGAACTTTGTGTAATATAGTTTCAAAATTATTTTGATTTAGTTTTTCTCCAGCCGCTTCTAGTACTTTTGAGATTAGAGGTATGCACTACTGTGCCTGGTTCTTCCAGTGGACTTTATAACTTAAGGTCTTGTAGCTTGTACATGAATTTCCTCAGGGGATCCATAATACAGTTTGCAGATGCAGAGGGATTGCTATACCTACTGCTTGCTCTCTTACCAGTTAGCCATTAATCCAACAGGATTGCACAGGTTAGCAACATTTTCTGGGTTGTTGAGCCATGGGAAGGGCTATGGGCCCTTCTGTGCCTACTGTTCATAAACTGTGTTCAGGCCTTGTATGTTCCTGTGTCTTCAGAGATAAAGCTTTTTCTTTTTTCTGGGCATAGGGAGTAACCTTCCGAATGAGCACCTTCAGGGGAAGGTCACATAGGTCTTATGTTTGCTTCAAGGAAGAAAGGACAGGGGAAGGTAAAAATGGTCTTTTGCTTCTGTTCTTTTCTCACATGACAACATGGCATATTTGGGGATAGTGTGCCTTGAACGCCACCAGAGCACTGGCAAGGAGAGTTGTGACCTGCAAAGGCATAGTGTTTTCCCTGAAGCAGATTCTGCCTCAGTTCTTAGGATGACTTTGCATCACTCGCTCTCCAGTTCGTTCGTTCGTTCGTTCTTTCTTTCTTTCTTTCTTTCTTTCTTTCTTTCTTTCTTTCTTTCTTTCTTTCTTTCTTTCTTTCTTTCTTGATGCAACCGGGGACTGAACTCAGGCCCTTGCACTTGCCAGGGAAGTGCTTATTTCACTGAGCCATCTCCTTGTGCCCCCCCACCCCCACCCTTTTTTTTCTTCAGTTCTTTCAAAGATGGGTGTTGGTACCATTCACTTCACTTAGCTGCAGCTTCATAAGATGACAAAGGTTAGTATTTCACCCAGTTAGTTTTTTCTTTAGAAGACCTGATATTAGGTCCTCAGATAATTTGGTCCTCAGTCTTGAATATCCAAATCCAGCCAGGTTACTAGGGAAACTCTTACGTTAAAACTGTTACAAGTTACATGTTTTTAAAAGTTTTTGTACATTAAGATCCTTAATTTTTGTTTTTGTTTTTCATTGCTGGGGATTAAATCAAGCCTCTCATACATTAAGCACATGCTGTACAACTGAGCTTCATCTGAACCCCAACCCCTAAGAGTCTTGTTTTTAAAAATGTTTTTTTCCAGTATTTACTTGGATTTATATAATTAGCAATTTTATTTTCCATGTATTTGTGTGTTCACTTTTCTGCAGCAGTATTTCTTGGCAGTAGAGATGCTATTTCTGTCTTTTAAAGTTCTAAGAATTAAATGCAATGACAGACAATAGAACACTTGATTTAGTAATATTCCTTTTTATGCTTTGCTTTCTATTTTATGTTGATGTTGCTTTTATTAGGTAAGAGGCTAGCCATTAATTTGAAATTCATAGGTGCTAAATTCAATCAAAGCCAAAAGTTGGATGATATTTACTGTAAACGTTGAATGAGATTACTTACTGGGGGAAAAATTGAAAGAAATCATGAAATGTCTAGATCTTGTCATGAGTTTGACAAGTGTATCTGTCACCTGCACGCTGTTTGAGGTACAGAACATTTCATTTGCTGTAGGAAGTTCCTTGTTCCCTTCTCCACCCTACCCATCCTTCCTGTACTGGAAGTTCTAGAACTTTCATAAGTGGAATCATACAGTTTGTGTACTCATGGTTCTGTTTCTTTACTCAGCATGAGTGACTCAGTTGTGTTGTCACAGGTAACAGAAATATGTTTCTTTTTATTACTAAATACTACTTTATTGTATGGATGTACCATAGTATGTTTATCAGTTCTGTTGTTCAGGGGAATTTGGATTTTATCTTTTTGGCTGTTACAAATAAAATTGCTTTGAGTATTCTTGAAGTCCTTATGTGAACATATGTTTGTTTTTTGCTTCACTTGGGCAAATGCATGGGAATGGAGCTGGTGCATTGTAAGTGTATGGTTGTTTATTTTTCTAAAAAAGAGCTAAATTATGCCATTCCTCCCCTCCAGCAGAGTATGGAAGTTGTGATTGTTTTCAGATACATCAAGTGCATTGCAGAACTTTGGAGTGGGGAGAGCTTTTTTTAAAAATATAAGTTCTCTAGAGTCTGATGTTAATTCAGATTGGAGAACCTCAGACAAGATGCTATGAGATCTGATTTTAGTCATTATTATGTATATCCAAATTACTGGTCATATTATTGCTTGCTACTAAACTTGGTTGAGTTTTATCCAACTGTTTTCCAAAATATTGAAATAATAATGAATGTCAGATTGTTGTGTACATTTTATATTACTCCATTTGGCAATAGCTTTTATTTATGGGAAAGGGTTAAGTTTGGTTAAGGGAGATCTTTTGACTGTTAGCTTCTTTTCTCCATGGTTTACACAGAAACCATCAAAGTATTGAATTTATCACTTCTCTTTGTTTTTTATGTTCCCATTTTAGTAGTTGTCTCAGTTACTTTTTAGTTGTCTCGTTGCTGGACAAAATATCCGACACTCAAAATTAAGGAAGGAGTGGTTTATTTAGCTTGCAGTTAGTGGAGGTTTCAGTCCATACTCGGCTGGCTCCAAGGGAGAGTAGCACAGGGCAGAAGGCAGCAGTTCATGGTGGCAGAAAACAGTGAAAGCAGAGGAAGGAGCAGCAGCTGTGACATCTATCAAGCCTCTCTCCCTTCCTTCAAAGATTGGAGTTCCTCTGAAGTGGTGCAGCTATGATGGTCAAGTTCCTCCAAGGAAGTGGCATGGTTGTGAAGTGGCGCAGAGCTCTGAGGAAGTGTCGCCGCTCTGAAGCCTTCCTCAACTTTACGCTTTAAGTGCTGAGTCACTCTAGGATAGGTCGTGGAGTTGTGCTGAGCCTGTCTAGCTAAGATTCCAACCCCTCAGGTTGACACAATGTATCAACTACCAGTGATAGTAAACTGTAAGTTTATGAAGTGAACAAAAACCATAGGAAGAAAAGTACAGGCATAGAGATAAGCCTAGAGATGAATAATCTAGAAGCTTTAAGTCATAGCCTTAAAATGACTGCTTTATAAGATGGTATTGTTAAGAAACTGTTGGGATTTTGTTCACCAAAACAAAACAACACAACAACAAAAAGGTACTTATTTTGGCTGAGTGTGGTGGCACACACCTGTAGTTTCAGCATGAAGCCTGAGGAAGGAGGATCACAGGTTTGAGCCCAGCCTGTGCAACACAGCGTCTTAGTGAGATGGCGACTCAGAAAATAAAATGACCTGCGAATATAGCTCATTATGAAGGCCCTAGATTCAGTGTTCACTGCCAGGAGAAAGAAAAGAAAGAAAAATACTTAAAATGATGTATAAATAAAGTTTGCTTTTACCACTTTCAATTCAGATAATGGCATTTAGCAAGCTATAAAATAAATGAGGTAGTAACCTAAGTATAAATAGTAGACCTGAAGTAGTTACATTTTTATTGCTCTAAGATGTTGATTGCCTTATAAGTAGGGCGACTAGTTTATTTATCAAGACTCTTTTGAGAATGAAGAGAGGCACTGTGAATAATGAACACTGAGACAATCAATAAGCAGGACTGCCCTACAAAATGAGAACCTTCATATATAAGTGACACAAACTAACTCCTCCGCTTACAATGTAAAATTTTTAGCAAAGTATTTTTTTAAGTGGTTTGCTTTTACTTTTTAATTTGTTGTATGTGTTGTTTGTTCCACAAAATAGCAGTTCTGATCATACTGATATTTGTAGAATTAGTTTTAGAAAATCTGTACTTTTAAGTATTCTTGCTACATTTTTTTCTTCACCATATCGGATAACTACATGTAGAAAAGTAAATTCTTAGTCATAAACATTGTTATAGCAAAAACCTTCATATTTTATTTTTCTTTATTATTTTTTTTGACGAAAAATGAATCTTTATTTTTTTCCCCATAATTTTATTGATAAATAGCAATGAGACAGTTTCAAATCAAATTGGTAGGACAGTTTCAATAATTAACACATTACATACATTCCTAGTGGTTAATTGCTGTACAAGATGCAGACTTGAGATCCTATTTACAAACACCATTAGAACAAATCACTCTATTCATTAAGAGAATGTAACTATATGTCTATCCTAACCACTTTGAATACACAGTTACAAAATGGACATTCATCTGTATACCTTTCTTTGTTATTTTAGGTACTGTAATTATGACTTTTTTTTTTTTTCCTTCCAGACAAATTATGAAAACAGAATATATAGCCTGAAAGTAGAATGTGGACCTAAGTACCCAGAAGCTCCTCCATCAGTTAGATTTGTAACAAAAATTAATATGAATGGAATAAATAATTCCAGTGGAATGGTAAGTTAAAATAGTAATTTTATTCATATATGGCATGGTCTAGAGAAAGTTTTTACGTTTTTGATCAGTTGACAGATTAAAGTTTGTCTCACATTGTTCTTTTTAAATCAACCTATCCTTAAAACTCTTAATGTATTTCCTAGGTGATGTTTTTCTTAGGGTTTTATTCATTGTGCCAGTACTCACATTTCTGTTGAATTTTTATTTGGTGAACCATGGCCATTATTTCTTGCTATCTTTATTGTTATTTGAGATGAGGTCTCCCTGTAGTTCAAGCTGGCTTTGAACTCATGGCAGTTCTTATGTCTCAGCCTCTGGAGTGTTGGGATTACAGGCATGTGCCACTATGCCTTACTCCATTATTTCTCTGGACTGAGGTACGTTTGTGAGATTGAAAGAATAAATATTAGGAAGGGCTTTTTTCTTTGGGGAACAAGTGTGTCTATTAGAATGTGTCATGGCAGCATGGTTATCTCATTAAAGCAAACAAACCAGAAGGTTTATTTGTATGTACCTGACTTATGTAAGTTAGTAGAAGTAGCTGAATTTACAGTATGAGTAGATTGTGAGGTTCATGTTAAGTCTTTGAGCCGAGGCTGTTCTTGTGCAATATTGAGAGCACTCATATGGAGAAAACATGTTAGAAAACAGAACAATATCATTCTAAGATGAAAATCATCCATCTCAGCAGTCTTTTTCAGTTCTTTAATTTGAATTGTGTCCTTTGTGTTAACTCTGTTGGAGTGTGTAGTCACCCTGTTATTCTGATTTGGTTGTGCTGGAAATTAAGTATATTAGTGTTTTTAGCTTAATTCCTGGGTTGATGTTTGTAAATTATCTATGGTGAGTAGCTTTATTATTACTATTTAGAACCCTTAGGAAATGACTTCTTAAAGGTATCTTCCAAGTGTAGCTGGCTTTTAGGTTTTGAGCTCATTGTAAGATCCTACCTCTTAAATTTATTGAGGATGAGAAGTTGTTGCCTACTTGGCCTGTCCCCTGGTTCTTTAGAATTAGCCTACTGTATTTTTTATGAGATTTAGGCAGTCTCAGTCTTGGTATACCAGGAAGAACAGCTGAATAGCACAATTATGTCACCTTGGTTAAAGTGGAACAATCAGCAATAACAATGGCATCAAACAGTGTAGAAAATGACAAACTGAGGAAACTATTAGTTTGCTACTGTTAACCACGTGAACTCGATTTGTGGTTATATAACAAAATCTAAAATGAACCAGAGGCTGGGTGTGTTGGTGCATGCCTATAAACCTGGCACTTAGGAAGCTGAGGCAGGAGAATTGCCATGAGTTTGAAGCCAACCTGGACTACAAAGTTAGATCAAGCCCAGCCTGGACTACATTACAAGACCTTGTCTCAAAAAAAAAGCCCTCAATCTGGCAAATTTACACTTAGGGGAGAAAATTTAAAAGGAATTGGAGAAAAAATAGAAGAGAGAAGAAACAAAGCTGGAGGACAAAGGAAGACCATGCAAACTTTGGGATGAAGTTTGATTAAGACGACAGGAGGGAAAGAGAGAAGGAAGAAAAGGAAAACAAGAATAGAACAAAAAGTTCTAGAAACAGTGTTTACACTCATAAAGTTAAAAAATTTTTTTCATTTCAAAACATGGGTTTTATGTCACTGGTAGACATCATGGGCAGAGTCTAGATCTGAGTTGATTAATCCCAGCAAGCCAGTTGTAGCTTTATGTCAAGGTAGTGGATAATCCCAGTGAGTCTACACCATTATTTTTTTTTTTATAAAGGTCATTGCCGATTTCTTTCTTTCTTTTTTGTTTTTTTAAATTTTATTTATTTGTGTGTGTGGGTGTGTGTGTGGCCAGCTCAGCCCACCAGGGGGCAGGGCTGGCTGGCATGTGGTGCTGGGGGATTGAACCGCGGTCTCTGTGCTTTGCTAAGCTTGTTCTAAGTAGGCGCTTTAGACCACTGAGCCATCTCACCAGCCCAAGTCTACACCTTTAAATTCTACTGAAATTCAGATTGGTTTCTGGCTGTGAACTCAAACCAAATTTGTTTAGCCTGAAGCAGTTTGTGTGCTGTTTGCTGGCCTGAATTTGGCTCCCTGACTTCTACCAACTTGAACTCTTCTGGACCCTCTCAGTGTGAGTCACTGGATGCAGCTGGGCTGTAGCTGTTCAAAGTTCTGAGCTCAGTTGGCTCCTTTACAAGATGGCTTACTGGCCATTTGCCCTTTCGTGGGGGACATGTGAACTCGAATAACTCACCAGCCATTGTAGTCCACTGCATCCCCAGTTTAAGTTCCACTGATTGATTACTCTGTGGAGGCCTCTGAGGTTATCAGTAGTCACTGTGGGTCGGCAGTTTCAAGCTGTCCCCCCACAGAAGAGAGCCACCTGCTACCTTCCCTTTTTTTTTTTTTTTTTTGTTTTGGTGGAACCAGGGATTGAATGCAGACTCTTGTGCTTGCCAGGGAAGCACTTATTCCACTGAGCCATCTCCCCAGCCCAGAGGTTTTTTTTTTTTTTTGTTTTTTTTAAGGACTGTTCTTTTCCAGTTAGTGTTTGTTGCTTTAGTTTGGTTCTAATCTGTTGTACATCAATACTTCAGTAAAACCTAATAAAATTATTAGAAAAATGAAACTTAAAACATATAAAATACAGGCTCAAGTTTTTAAAATGAAATATATTCAGTCAAATTGCTTGTACCTTTCCTCTGAATTTCTTTTTAATCTTGTAAAGGCTCAAACTCAGTTCATGTCCCAATGCTATTCTAGGGTTGTCTTGGTTACTTTTCTTTCATTGCTGTAACAAACTACCCAACACCCAAAATTAAGGGAGGAAAAGTTTATTTAGCTTACAGTTTGTGGAGGTTTTAATCCATACTCAGTAGGCTTCAAGGCAGAATGGCACATAGCAGAAGGCAGCAGTTCATGGGGATGGAAAACAGCAAAATAGCAGGAGCAAAAAGGGGAGTAGCTGTAGCAGCAGCAAACGGGCAGAGGCAGAGAGAGCAAGCCTCTCCCTTTCTTATGGTGCATCTAGGCTGTCTGCACCAGGGCAGGTGTAGCACTCACACCCATAATTCCAGCATTGGATCATGAATTAATCACAAGCTCTACAAGCCACCCCATGACTGCATGAGACCTAGGGGGACACACACCATAACTGGCATATTTTGAATAGCACTTCTCCAGTAACCATACCTAGAAGGGGAGTGTGTGCTGAGCTGTGAGGTTTGTCTTCAACCTGATGAAATATGCCAGGCTCTCTTCATAGGGCTGTGTTGGTGTCCACCCTGCCCACATTGCATTACAGGGCCTTGAATGCATGTTTCCACTAACTTCATGTTTTCATCTGGAATTGGGATTTGAGAATAGAAAAATAAACATTGATATTAATTATTATTTGAATGTAAGTGTGGTAAATATATTGTATATCATTTGGAATGTGTGGGATTTTGGATTATTATCTTTATAACTGATAACTAAATTTCATTTTGACTGTTGGTGATTGTGCTAGGGGAGTTTTATATATTTTGAGATTAAATACCTGATGAATTGTAATTTGTAAGCATCAATGGGTGTTGCTTTAGTAATTTTCATTTGTGTTCAACTAGCATCATGAAGGATAAATTAACATATGTTGTGTCATGAAGGCTCAAGATTTGAAGATTATTGTTTATTGCAGACTGATAAGATACAGATTTTTGTACTGACATATTTATTTTCTCTTGCTCTCTCCCTTCTCCCTTTGGACTCAGTATTTCACAGGATTTGCAATCACTTATGTTTACTTAACCACCATTTACATCTGGAAGTGTTTCTGCTTTGGAAGTAACCTGGTGTTCTCTCCACAGAATTTTATAAATTGTTCATTTGTGAACTCTTTAAATAAGGCTAAGGGAGTTGTTATTCTTTTAAGTTTCTTATTTTTGTTTATTTTCTGTTTTAAGTTTTGAAGTTAAAGCATTAGAGGAAGCCTTTTTTTAAAAAATTTATTTATTTATTTATTTAT